CAGCTACTCAGAGCTGAACCATCCTCCCTGCCCCGGAATATGCAATAATGTTTAATGCGTCATTGTTCCAGTGCTCCTGTCTGCTCAGCGAGCTCAGCTCCCATCACTCTGATCCATTGCTCTCCTGCAAGCACCGATACAGCGGTAATAACCATCAAACATCACATCCCTGACTCCACAGGTGGCACTTGCTGGAGGCTGGAGGGTTAGGGCTTAAAATTGCGGATGGTAATTAAACACGTCTTGTGTTTCTACCACCTCCTGTTGCTGGAGTTGCATATGATTTACCTTGAATGTCATACTTACCATAATATTGAAAGGGTGGGGGTTAAAATCTAGCCTTTAATTCCCATTCCCATTGGAGTCCTGTAGCTCAGTGGTTAGAGCACTCGTTTCGCAAGCGAGGGACCTGGGTTCGATTCCCAGCGAAACCTTGGGCAAGTTTCCTTACACCACGTGCCTGATAATAATCCCCCAAGAAAAAAAAACAATAATAATTTGGTCACTCAATCCACGACTGTTTGTGGGACACAATTGGCTGCCACATTTCGCCCACAAAATGTACAGTTCATTCACTTTACAGTATATCCTGTGAAGCGCTTTGAGACGTCTCGAAGGCGTGATCAGGCGCTGTATCAAATGCAAGGCTTATTATTATTTATATAATCACTCCTGCTTTTTGAGCGCCTTGAGACGTTGTCCTGACATGAATAGCGCAATGGATAACATGAATAGAAATGTATTTTAGCGCTGCGAGAAACAATCCTGTCTGAAGGGTGTGATATAAACCCAAGCAGTCGCTGTTGTTTATATAGCACTCAGTTCTGTGTTATGGCAATCGGACCCTAAGCCTCTTTATGCAGCGCCGAAAGTGTTAAGCGAATCCCAGTTCCTCTAAGTTTTACTTCGTAGTTTTAGCGTCCACGGTGAGGAACGAATGAAGTAAAGGCTCAGAACCGAAGAGAGAGAGAGAGAGAGAGAGATTTATTTTGGCCAGTGTGACACATGCGGAAACCCATCACCGAGTCTCCAAACCAAACTGAGAATTCCATGTATCCCACCGACACATGAAAGTCTCGGAGATAGATTGTTGGAATGGAATGCGCACTCTCTCCCTGGAGGGATGCATCCTGCGTACCTAATTCCGGAAACCATTAGGCGCAGAGAGAGAGAGAGAGAGAGAGAGAGAGAGTCTTTTGCAATAAGAGACAAGATGTTTTCTCGAGCGAGTTGCAGGAAGGAGGGAGGGAGGGAGGGAGAGATAGAGGCTTGAGAGGACCTCACAATGCAAGCCTTTGTGAAGGTCTCTCCGCAGCTCTGGCCAAAAACACCCACAATTCAGCCCAGCCACCATCAGCAACAACGTCACCGCCACCACCACCACTGCAGCCACGATTCATTTGCAAACGAAACATGCGCTTGGGACCTTTGAGGAGATGGAAATGAAAAGAGCCGTTGACACGGCAACTCACGGTCAACAGATTCAGGCCTCACTCTTTAGCAGTGCAGCCCCCGTCTCGGGAGTTTGAGACGTTATTTACCTGAAGTCTAATGACAACCAGCATGAGCCTGAACACCACTGATCACCTGGTGGCATTGACCAGCGACACGGACCAGAGACAGGCAACGAACAAGGGTCTCACCGACGCTTTTCTCGGTGAGTGTCCACCGATTCCAGCCTCGGATTGCACACGCAATCCCGTTGAATTTGGCTTCCCGCCTCTTCTGCCTGAAAACTAGCAGCTATCATGGAGAATCGACAAAAATCGGCTCTTAACGTCGAATAAAATCGGGCTTTCACTTTGTGGCAGTTTGCGGGTGGGGTGGGGAGTGGAGAAGGACTGCTTTTGCGCCGCGCAAATTGTGGCTGCCCGCAAAATACACACAGTCACTGCACTTTCCCAGTAAAATCCTCGAAGCCCTTTGAGACGCAATGTCAATTGTAAGGACTGCTGCGAGTGTTGATTTTTAACCTCTCTCTTTTTGTGTGTGTGTGCAGAATTTAGAACGACGAACATAATCGTGGCCTCTTTAGCGCTGTTGATGCTTCTCCTGACCGGGATCTCCTGTAGCTTCTCCTACCAGAGAAAAATAAGGTAGGGTTCTTCTAAACGTTCAGCTAACCATTAAACCTCCAGAGGGAAAGGTTACCACAGAGCGTTATCAATGGCAAGCTATGCGGTTTTAGCTGGTTAGACTCCAGCAATTACCCAAGTGCACACTCTGGGCTCCCCCAAGCCTTGGCTCTTGCCATCTGCGCCTAATACTTTCCGGAATTAGCCCAAAACCAATCATCCAACCGGTGGAAAAATGGCCAGTGGTAACGTGCATGTAACATAGAAACCATTACACAACGCCCCTTACGCAGGTTAGCGTCCCAGAGCCCTTGACGGTGGCAGAGCACGACACCGAGCCGGAGGGAGGAAGGGAGGGAGGTGACCGTAGGCACGGCCGAAGACGAAGATGGGGAGGGAGGAGGCAAGGCGGAACTGAGGGAGAGAGTTCCAGAGTTTCGGGGCGTAGTGGCTGAAAGCGCGGCCACTTACGGTGGGGGCTTTTCAGCACAGAGTGGGGAAAAAAGAAGTTTTATTTAAGATTTCGAGTACAAGGCGTGACCGAGATGGCAGCCCGCTCAACACGGCACGCTTCGCAAACACGAGGAAGAGGGTCGATAAGACATTGTCAGCGAGGGTAAATGATTATCAAGTGGATTTCAAAGCTTGCATCAATCGCACTTGGCAAACAAAAGATTTTCCAATTGAAACTCTCAAATCTTTCATGCCCGACAATCAGCTAAATGGTGCGTTAACAACACGCAAATGGCCAACACTCACTGTCTCCTGATGCAAAGCAAAAAGATGGAAAAAATCTGCGATTTTGACGCACGTTTAATTAAATCCTCAAAGAGGCTGTTGTCATGGACACCCTCAATTCATTTGCGCCCCGTCTCGCACACGGCTTACACGAACGGACAGCTCATTTTGCTAATTTCTAATTTAACAACTCGCTGTAACTACGGGTTTGCATTTCCTCCTGTGTACGTGTGACAATCATTAACGCAGATGCAACATACTCAGTTCACTGTGTAAGTGAAGAACTGGCAATTCACACAAATGCCAAGAGCCAGGCAGTCTGTGGTGCGTAGTCTGCTTGTGCCGCGGGCATTTTTCGTTCAATTACAAAACACAGAAAAGAAAAACCTACGATAGTTCCATTTCAAAAAGTTGGTGGAAGAATGAAAGACTGAATTGTTAATTGTCCACCTCAACAGCTCAGCTGGTCAATGTACTGGCTAATCTAGCAACCCGAACCTCGGGCATAAATCCCTCCACAGCCTCGTCCTGCCCCTACCTCTATAATAATAATAATCCTTGCATTTGATATAGCGCCTTATCACATCTTCGAGACGTCTCAAAGCGCTTCACAGAATATACTGTAAACTTGATTGACTGTATATTTTGTGGGCAAAATGTGACAGCCAACTGTGCATAGGAGTGTCCCAATAAACAGTCGTGGTTTGAGTGACCAAATTATTTATTATTTTGTACTTATTATTTTGAAGGGATTATTACCCCTGTAAAAGCGATCCGCCAATCGACTAACAACGGGGTTCCTACTTACTACTAGGTAAACAGAGGAGTGTGGAGTAAGGAAACTTGCTAACGTTTTACCCTGCCAGGGAATCAAACTCAGGTCCTTTCACTTGCGAGGCAAGTGCCCTAACCATTAAACTACAGGACTCTGCTCTGCGACGTCTCCCACCCGCCCAGGTCCCTACACACACTCAGCTGACACCGTCGCGCCTCGTCTCCCCTCACCCAACCATCGCTGGGCAAAAATGCAATTACTCAAAAGATATTGGCAGCGTGCTCCCTGTGTCTCTCCAACTCTGCTCCACAGGAGGTTGCAACAAGCCAGGCTTTATGAGAACACAATCCAGTGTAAAGCCAAGGCGAGCAGCGTGGATGTGAGGAGCATGAGAAGAACATTGAGTGTCTGCAGACCCGCCGCTTGTTTCACGAGGCAGCAGGGAAGCCAACAACACCGCCCGCGAGTCTTCTACATTTACCAGAACCCCGCAATCAAGTGGTCAGAGGAATGCATCCTCACCATTTGAACGTAGCCTTCTAGCAATGACCCACCCGGCATTTTGGAGATCAGTGTTGATAACAGCTGCGGGGGGGTGGGGTGGGGGGGGGGGTGGAAAGGGAGAGGAGAGGGGGGAGGCCAGCAGCCTTGAGGGTGTTATGGTCAGACATGCAACTTACGCTGGTTTTGTTGATTCTCAAAGTCGGAAGACAGGATCCTCACGTCACAAGAGAACAGTTTGCATTTATGTAGCGAGCTCACATCACGCAGGACAGCCTCTCGGATCGCTGGCGCAGGCAACTGGGCAATACACCACTTATCAATACCTAACCGCTTACAAAGGTGCACTTACCTAACTGCTTCCCCCGCGCCATTCTATCTCCAACACGTCTCAATCGATCCATTATCTTCCAACTCCAGCAAAGATCCAGGTAGCCCCGTTTGCCTTCTTTTCTCTTGTAAATCGTGTGATTTGGAGTTTAAAGAAAAAAAACTAATAATAAAACGTTTCCCCCAAGGGACAAAAATAACAATCCTTGCATCCGATATAGCGGTTTATCTCCTCGTTGAGTTGTCTCAGGGCGCTTCACAGGATGTACTGTGAAGTGGATTGACTGTGTATTTTGTGTGGACGAAACGCAGCAGCCAGTTTGCACTCGGCAGTGTCCCACAAACAGCCGTGGAGTGAGTGACCAATCTTATTTGGGGTAATTGTTGGACACCGGGAGACAGAGAGAGACAGAGAGACAGAGAGAGAGAGAGAGAGAGAGAGAGAAACTCCCTTCTGTTTTTGAATAGCGCCTGGGGTTCTTTGACGTCCACCTGAACAGGCACAGATGGGACCTCGGTTTAACGTCTCGTCCGAAGAAAATGCAACAAGAGCAAAAGAAAAACAACCGACACAACCAACAAAAAGTATGAAATAGTTTACTTGTACAATTCACATTCTCAACCATTTCGTTGCAATCAGAGGTCGTGTTGGGTGTATGGGACATGCTGTGTTTATGAGTACAGTAACTGTACATCAGTCTCATTGGTGTATTTATTGAGTGCACTGTTTTGGTCAGACACAGGCATTTCAGCCGATCGATTCGGTTTCCCTGAGCAGCCAGTGAAGAGCTTCCACTTTCCCCTGCTTTTCCAGCTCAGGCCTGAGCACCTCCCTGCACAACTGGTGGTACGAATTGATCCAAGCGAGCTGAGGGGCAACAGATAAAGACAGCGATATGGGTCACACAACAAAATGGGAAGAGAACACATACTCTGTTGACCATGGCGGTAACACTTAATTTCTAAGACGCTGTAGGTGGGAGTGGGAGCTGGGGGTGGGATCATAGGAATTATCATAATAATAATCCTTGCATTTGATATAGCGCCTTATCATGTTGTTGAGACATCTCAAAGCGCTTCACAGAATATATTGTGAAATGGATTGATCGTGTCCCACAAACAGTTGTAGATTTTTTTTATTACCCCCAGAAAGCGATCTACCAATCGACTAACAACCGGGTACCTAATTACTGTTCGGTAATCAGAGGCATATGGAGTAAGGAAACTTGCCTAAGGTTTATCCCCGCCCGGGAATCGAACGAGTACCCTCTCGTTTGGGACGAGAGAGCACTAACCACTACTCTACGGGACTCCACAGAATTACAGGGACCAGGAGGCAACTCAACCCAACAAGCCCTATCTACGAGGTACTGTTTCATCCCAATCCCTAGTCCCTGCTGTTTCCGCCAACAGACAATAGCAGCAATTTTACATTCTACACAAGATATCCAGTCACCCGGATCAGGTTAAGAGCAAGAGACAGGTAGTTAGTTCAACAGAATGGAAGCCAATACAATCCCAGATTAAATAGGTGATGAAAGCAGTAGATGTGATCAAATTAAAACAGTGAAGCAAATACTGTACAATGGAGTAATGTTATATACCAGTTTCTGTCCTCACCTCTTTCTGTGTAAGCAATTCAATCTTCATCAATTTGGTCTGAATCGGAAACAGTGTCAAGGGTTCAAATTTCAGACTCCCTCTGTCCAGGAACTGGTACTGAATGGAAACAAAGTGGAACTTTTTATTCGAGCAAATCATATTCTCCTCCACTTGTGGCCTTAATGTCTTAGCTGCAGGTGGGAACATGGTAACATTACCCCCAGAAAAGCGATCCACCAATCAACTAACAACCGAGGTAAACAGAGGCGCGTGGAGTAAGGAAATTTGCCGAAGAGTTTTGTCCTGCCCAGGAATTGAACCCAGGCCCTCTCGCTTGCGAGCCGAGTGCTCTAACCAATCCACTACAGGACTCCACATTCATCACAAACAGAACAGCCTTGGCGCGAGGCTACCAGTGGGTTCTGTTTGCTTCAGTCGAAGACAAGCCTTCAAATAGCATCGGATCATAAATTACTCGGCAATGTAATTACCCAGAACAGAGCCCTACTTATCTAGTAAGCTGCAGGTTGCCGAGGGTCAGGAACATATGAGTGAAGCCCAAGCCTTCACATGTCTAGGTCCTAGTTGTTTATATAAAGGCTACTATATAAAACTACTTCAACATGCAAGCTAATATCCTTGCCTTAGCAATTCATTTAGTATCACTGGACATCTGTGTTAAGATGCTGTTTGCCAGCCTGTGGTGATGCGAAACAAAAAATCCCTAAGATGGTGGTCAAATTCGCTGCCAGAGTCATTAACACCCCAAAGCTGTGCGCACGTGTGTGTGTGTTTTTTGAAGGATGAGAAAAAGTCACTCTGTATTTAGAGAGGTGCTTCATTAAGATAAAAATGTAATAAAAGTCAACGTGAACATTTATATTAAAATTGTTGAACTAAGTGCCCTTCTGACAGTCCGCCCACCAGTAAATGCTCTGCCAATAGAGCTGTGATCATTCAGCCTCATGTCCTGGATCAAGCAAGTGGAATCTGCTCATCGCAGACAGTCGCTGAAACTCATCATCGTGCTTAAGAGTCTCCAAACCAACACTGAGGGCTTCACGTAGAAAGCGGACAGTGTTGATTCTTTCAAAAGCAAATTAGACGGATTTTTTTTAGGAAATAATATCTCGGGGCTACGGTATATAGTTTTGGACATGACAAGTGCAAGCGATTGACAGGATGGCGGAAGGGGAACTGGATGGAGCTTGGTCTTCTTTCATCTAGCAATTCTTATGTTCTTGTATGCACGCCACCTACACACCGGAATCTCCCCATAACTGCAATGGAATGCGTAATCTCTCTTCCAGGAGGGTCGCACATCCTCCTGACGTGAAAGACGCTTTATAAATGTTGTTGCTGTGATTATTTATTTCTTATGGGAGTGGGGGGGCGGGTGGAGGGGATCAGCCGGGAGTCTGACACACGCGGAAACCCATCACCGTTGCTTAAGAGTATCCAAACCAAACTGAGAATTCCATGCATCCCACCTACACATGGAAGTCTCAGAGATAGATTGTTGGAATGGAAAGCGCAAACTCTCTCGCTCTCTCTCTCTCCCTGGAGGGGACGCATTCTGCTGACCTATTTCCGGAAAGTATTAAGGCGCAGGTTGGCAGGAGCTGTTATTATTATTGTACCTTGGTTTTTGCCGGGACCACAAGCACAATACTCTCGATGCGAAACCCAAATCTCCCGTCTTCATAATACCCAGGCTCTGAATAATATAGAAAATTATGATCAGTTAAAAGTCCTAAAGATATCAAAACACTGTACCCATTGGGCATGTCGGGTGGCCATTAAGGCGTGAAGAGCAAAAAGGGGGGTAATGCTAATTGAGTTTTAATGCCTTATCTCATATTCTCGCCATTAGCTTTGATAACAATGGAACAAATCAGCTTCTTTTCAAGTCGCACCGCATTATGTTCTTCTCTGGAAAAAGCATTCCGTCACCCTAATAAGATTTGTCTCTGTAACATGAATTTTAATGATTACCGCTGACATAATTATGCCATCAGTGGTGTCTGGCTGAGAAACGGAATGGAGTACAATAAACGGGAAGACTTGGATTTGAATGCACCTGCATTAGCAGGCTTGTGACTTCAATCTTCAGGCAAGTTTACATTCCCTAAATGCAGCGTCAGTGAAGCAATAGTGCTTCCGAAAACATGTTGAGTGGTGGAAAGGAGCATATTATTATAATATAATCCTTGCATTTGACATCGAGACATCTCAAAGCACTTCACAGCATATACTGCAAAGTAGACTGACTGTGTATATTGTGGGCAAAATGCGGTAGCCAATTGGGCACAGCAGTATCCCACATATTTCTCCCTTCTGTCAAGGCAAGTGGCTATCACTGGAACTCCTTGCCTAAATCCCTCCGCCTTGCCCTCTCTTTGCCAGTCTTCAGATCGCACCTGATGACTTTCCTCTTTGGATGTGCTGACGGTAATCCCCTCTCTCCCTGGTTCGTGGTCAAATGACGGCATAATTAAGCACTCCGAGAAGCTACCCCGGTGGAAAGGCGCTGTATAAATGCAAGTCGTTGCAGCTATCAAAGGATCGTTTTAATTTGAAAGGTCCAATTGTTCCTCTAAGTTGTTAAAATATCTTTTATTTGGTGCATTCGTACCCTCAGAAATGCAACACTGCAAACCTTTCCCACACCCGGGCAGGAGCTAAGCTAAATCTTCTTCCATTTCCCTCCCTCTCGCCTCAGCTCCCACTCAGTCATTTTGAGACTTTAGGAGACATTCTCCCTGGATGTAAAGCGCTCTGAGATGCTACACTGGGTGACGGGCGCTATATAGAAATGTAAATTGTTGTTGTTGTCATTGTTTCGAAGAGTCGCTTCATCGCAGTGGGTGGAAGTGAATTTCTCCCAGTGACCCAACAACAATCCCCCCCCACCCCCACAGACAAGAAAACGATCATTTACTTCATGGTCATTTGTGGGACGTTTTGCTGTGAGTAAATTGGCTGCAGGGTTTGGCTATAAATTACACAGTCACTGTGGTTCACAGTAAAACCCTCAATCCGCGACTGTTTGTGGGACGCTGCTGTGCGCAATCGGCTGCTGCGTTCCGCCCACAAAGTACACAGTCACTACACTTCAGTGTATTCTGCGAAGCGCTTTGAGACGTCTCGAAGATGTGATAAGGCGCTGTATCAAATGCAAGGATTATATTATTATTATTATTAAAAGCGCTTTGAGATGTTCCGGACGCTGTGTGCGCCCTCAGCTCCACACACACACACACACAGACACACACCCCCGCCCACACCCCCACCCCGCACACATTGTCTGTAGGCTTTTCTGGGCTTCAGGCTCACCATTACTGAGGATCATCCCAGCCTCCAGAGGCTCGTCTGCAAACGTCTTGTAACTGATGCCGCAGGGGCCCTCGTGGACGTTGAGGAAAGCTCCGACTCCGTGCCCAGTGCCGTGCAGGTAATCCAGGCCGCAGTCCCAAAGCGCAGCTCTTGCAAAAGAGTCCAGGAGGTGCCCTGGTAGGAAGCAGTGCAGGAACGATGAACACTTGTGGTAGGACTTCAGAACAAAATCAACACAACCCCATATCCTAAAGGTTTGAAACTTGTTGTTGAGCTGTACGGGGGGGTGTCAGCCCCGGCTCGGTTGGTAGCCCTCTAGCCTCGCAGTCAAAAGGTTGTGGGTTGCTCACCTCTCTGATTTGCTCACTTCCCAACCTACTACCCTTTGCCTCTGCTCAACTGGCTCTGGCCTCCTGCTTGTCCCTCCTGCCCTCCGCTCCACCATCGGTGACCGCGATTTCAGCCACTACGCCCTGAAACTCTCTCTTTCAATCCCTCCTCCGCCCTTGCCCCCTCCTTACCCATCTTCAGGACGCACCTGAAGACCTTCCTCTTTGACTATGCCTGCAGACACCTTCCCCACTCCAACCCCTACCCCACCCCTCCCAGGCTCGGGATCATGCCCCGCCAATGTCAAGCGATCTGGGATGCTATCCTGCGTGAGGAGTGCTGTGTAAATGCAAGTTGTTGTTGTTCAAGTCTCCCACGTCGGGACTTTGAGCTCACAGTCTCACTCTCACGGAGCTCACAAAGGTGCTGCCCTTTGGATGAGATGTTAAACCGAGCTCCCTGATCAAATGGACGTTAACAATCCTCATAGTAAAGCCTCACCTTTGGTCCCGTTCGGGAAAACCGCAGATCCCAGGGAGATGTGTCCCTTCAACACATAGGTGAAGCACTCCTGAGAACGTCAGAGGTTTTTTTTTAGAACAAAGTACGCAACTAAAAACATATTTCAGGTCTTACACTAAAGGTCTGAAAGTTTGACATTAAGAAGTTCAGCACGAATACTTTCCCCACCATAATCAACTGCACATTAGAGGATCTAAAAGGAAGTTTGGGAGGAACTGTTTTACCGAGAGGTTAGTGTGAATGTGGAACTGACTCACTGCCACAAGCTGTAGTCGAAGCAAAAAGCATCAACGTATTTAAGAGGAAACTCGACACGCACATGACCAAGAAGGGAATAGTGGGGGTGTAGGAGAGGGGATCGGGAGAGGTGGAATAGAAACACTGGTACCGATTAGTTTACGTGCTGTAACATTCTATGTCATTTCTCTGTAAATTTAGAGCCAGGACATAATCATTAATCCCTTCAGGGAGCTCATGGTACAGCTCATGCACCAGCAATGAAGAGACCGATCTTTACCCGTCTAATAAGTGACTGAAATTTCATGGTGCAAATTGAACACGTCGCGAAAATATAATAATCCTTGCCCTTGATCCTCCCAACGTGAAAGGCGCTACACAAAAAAAATACAATTTGTTGTTGTTGATATGGCACCTTATCAAGTTGTTGAAATGTCTCAAAGCGCTTCACAGGATATACTGTAAAGAGTGACTGTATATTTTGTGGGCGAAAACACCACACACAGAACGATTTGAAGACTACAATGTAAACACTGGATTTTGATGATGGTTATAACCAGGTTTGACTTTGCTTTCACCAGTTAGGATCTTATCTGAAGTTGACATACCTTCTCGTAGTCTGTGGGAATCCCGAAATGTACTGTGCGTGTGACATCTGTGGTCCCATCCCTAGTGTACACAAACAACAGCATATCACTCTTACGGAGAAAGAGCAATTTAAACACGTCGCTACGCAAAGAATCAAACGCTCAATGTGGTGTTTTCATATATACATTTTAAGGGACTATTATACTCGGAAAGCAATCTGCAAATCGACTAACAACCGGGTTCTTACTTACTGCTAGGTAAACAGGGACGTGTGGAGTAAGGAAACTTGACTAACGTTTTGCTCTGCCTGGGAATCAAATCCAGGTCCTCTCGCTTGCGAGGCAAGTGTTCTAACCACTACGCTACAGGACTCCAAGTGGAGTGATCCTCACGAGGTTAATTACCCACCACGGGTATGATCTTCCCCATTCTCTCAAAGACTTTAAACCTCGACGTGCAACTATCACTTACGTTGAAAAAAAAATCAAAAATATTCATATTAATTCTTCACCAGAAAAAAAATAAGGCATAATTAAGATCTTCATTACCTAGGAAAAGTTAAAAAAAAATTGACATCGTCTTACTTGTACTGTGCACCAGAATCCAGAAGGTAAATTTCATTCAGTGACAAAGTTCGGTTCGTCTCTGGGTTTGGGCTATGAAAAGAAAAAAAGAGAAAAAGAAACGGTTCAAATAAAAATGTACGTCGTGTCCCAAAGAAGAATACACAGAAAAAAGCAACATTAGCGCCCGCCACAAACCAATAATAATAATAATAATCCTTGCATTTGATACAGCGCCTCATCACATTGTTGAGACGTCTCAAAGAGCTTCACAGGTTATATTGTAAAGTGGATTGACTGTGTCTTGTTGGTGAAACACGACAGCCAATTGGGAGGGAGAGGAAGTATTATCCCCGGAAAGCGATCCGCCAAACACCTAACAACCGGGTTCCTACTTAACGCTAGGTAAACAGAGGTGTGTAGAATAAGGAAACATGCCCAAACATTTCGCTCTGCCCAGGAATCAAATCCAGATCCTCTCGCTTGCAAGGCGATTGCTCTAACCACTGAGCTACAGGACAACACCAACACCAGCCAGCAATTCACCCCACATCACAACTCGCCCTGTAGAAGTCTTACCTGTAATGGATGATGGCGCTGTTTGGGCCTGTGCTGGAAATGGTGCCAAAACTCAAGTCCATGAAATTTTCTTGTTGGCTGGGAAAAACACACACACACACAGCAGGAAGAGTGAGCGTGAAAGTTTACGTCCAAGGCACACTTTGTGCTACAGAATTAAATAAATACCTCCTGTTATAAAAATAACCACGTTGCATTTGCTACAGCACCTTATCACGTCTCTGAGACGTTTCAGAGTGCTTCACAGAATAGACTGTCAAGTGGAGTGACTGTGCATTTTGGAGGGGGAAGAGGACGTGAAATGTTCACAAAACATTTAATACATTTCTTTAAAAAGCACTGACCTGCGGAATTCGGCCGCCTTGTTAGCAGCACTTATTTCAGTGACTTTGCCTTTCGGAACCTGTAAACATTACAATTTAAGTAGACGCGTGAGGCAATGGCAATTTCCCCCTCCCAAAAGCAAAACCGGGCACATGGCATTGAAGAAGCGAGCGGGTCCCAATCAAGCCCTCCAACACCCCGTCAGTGAATACACTCTCCTGCGAGCTGTGCAGAGAGAGAGAGAGAACAATCCCTGGTGCGTGCTGAGCGAGCAGACCTCACCCAGGACAGTGGTAGACGCGGCGAGCAGAGGACCACTGCTAAGACCTCGCCTTATCGTCTCATTCAGAGGGATGGCACCTCTGACAATGCAGCGCTTCCCCCCCCCCACCCCAGCATTGCACTGGAACGTCAGCCTAGACTACGCAAGTTCAAAGTCCCGGCGTGGGGCTTGAACCCACCACCTCCTGACTCAGAAAGGGGAGGAACAGGAAAGGGGGAGGGGAGGGGAGTGGGTAGGGAGGGGAGCAAGTTTCTTACCTCCTTCTCAAGCCAGTTGAACAGTTCACAAAGAGCCACAGCATCCTTAATCTGGTGATTAAAAATAAAGGTCTAGTCAACACCTTTCCGTGCGACCTTGGCTTTTTTTCCTTTGTATGTTTAAGATGCATCTCTGTGAGACACCATCACAATGTGAAAAGAACTGTGTTGCATACATGGCACATCATGAAAAGCATGTGGAGTCCCATGACTTAGTGGTTAGAGCGCTCGCCTCACAAGTGAGAAGACCCGGGATCGATTCCCGGGTGGGGCAAAACCTTAGGCGAGTTTCCTTACCATGTCCCAAACAGGTTTGTGAAATAATTTAGTCCGCGCAGTACAATTAAAGCAAAGCAAATAGTAAATATTTTAATTTAGCGCTCAATTTACTGAGATAATGCATTCTTAATCAAATTATGTTGGCATTTATATGAATATTAAGCAGAATTAATCACTTAGACACATGCAAATACAATTCAACTGGAAAGAGATGCTATGCTATTACAATCAGCCCCTCCTCCCCCCTACCCTCAGCGTGGTGCTCTATTTGATCAGCAAAAAATAAAAATAAGTATTTTTTTAAAAAAGTCACAAGAATGTACATCAGTTTGTTGCAAACCCCCAGGACGCTGTACAAATGAATTGTTCCGAGTTAATTCAATAATAATAATAATCCTTGCGTTTGATATAACGCCTTATCAGCTCGTCAAAATGTCTCAAGAGCGCTTTGCAGAATATACTGTAAAGTGGAGCGACTGAATACTTTGTGGGTGAAACGCGGTAGCCAGTTTGTGGACAACATGGAGTGGGTCATGGAGTGAGTGACCAATTTTATTTGGGGGATTCCTGGCCAGGACACCGGGAGAGAGAAACTTCCTTCTGTTTTCGAATAGCGCCGCGGGATCTTTAACGCCCAACTGAACAGGCAGACGGGGCCTCGGTTTGACATCTCCACTGAAGGACGGCACCTTCGACAATGCGATGCCCCCACCCTCCAACACTACATTGGAGCGTCTGCTTAGACTTAAGTGATTCCAAGTCCCGACATAGAATTGGAACCCACAACCTTCTGACTCGAGACGCGAGAGTGCTACCCACTGCGTCAGGCTGACAACGGCGTCAAGACATGAAGTTCAACATCTGTCCATTACTCACGTGAGCATTCCGCATGCCTTTAATCTCCGTGGGGTTCTTCACTGCCTTTGCCATGCAAATAGGCGTGTAGATGGTCTGCAATCTATGCATCTGTTGTCGACGATATATAAACAAAGAAAAGTTCATTTTGTGTATTTTTTTTGGGGGGGGAGGGGGGGTATTGGACTGTAATACGATCAAATATTACATCATTTACATTATTTTGGAGAGCACTGGAAGCTGACTTCTGAAAGAATAGTTTCCTTCTGTACAGGGAGAGTGTACAGGGAGAGAGAGAGAGAGAGAGAAGGGAAGGAGGGGAGGAAATAATAATAATAATCCTTGTATTTGATATAGCGCCTTATCACGTTGTTGACAGAATATACTGTGTGTTTTGTGGACGAAACACGACTGCCAATTGCGCACAGCAGTGTCCCACAAACAGCCATGGATTGAGTGACCAAAACAATTTTGGGACAGGGAAGAGAGGGAAAAAGAATAAAATGATTTAAAAAAAAGCACAGATTTTTAAAAAATTTTAAGGAAAACTTTGCACTGGTAAGATATCCAACATACAGTGGTAAAAAAAAAGGGATTGGAACAGACTGGCTAAAAGCAGCAGCTACACAGCACAGCTTAATCAATGGCTGTCAATGGGAAGCAGCCTTCAGGCAATATTTAGCTACTCACTGCGTCAGAAATCATGCAGCAACGCAGAAAGCAAACCATCGCCGCAGGTCTATGTTGGTCCCAGTGACCCTGAACTCTGCAGTAGTCCTCTCGAGCAGCATCTCGCATACCGAGAAATCGCTGCGCTGCCTCTAGACACATTCGCCACTCCACACGCGTTTCATTCTACATTTCTAAGTCAAGACGCCTGGGCTCCACCTGGGCTTCGCTAACAGGCTTGCGAGACAGGAGGAGGCTGGACGTGCCACTTTATTGGACTAGGGCGCTGCTATTTAGCCCATTTCCTTGCCATTTCCCTACAAGCATCTTATCGTATAAACAAGCCATCATCTACTGCCTTCAGCGCCGTCAATGCCCTTCACTTCCGCAACCCACAACAACAACTTGCGTTTATATTGCGCCCTTCACGCCGGACGGTATCTCAGAGCGCTTAAAACCCAGTAGCCTTTCCTGACGGGTTAGTGATGGGTTACATCGGGCACCCTATGTACCTTTGGGATAGCTTCGGTCAAAGCCTGGCTGGCTTTGCTACTGATCCAGATTCTTTCCTTCATGCTCAGACGGGCTCCGACGGTCTGGAGCTCAGTCAGAATGGATTCGTACGGGTGCACCTGTATCCTGAACTCGGGTGCCACCTCCCTGTCCAGCTGCAAGTGGTCTCTCACAGCCCGGTCTTCCATGTGCTTCTCATTGATGAACAGTCTGCGGTGAATCAATGGGGGAAAACTGGAGCGTTACAGAGGTAAAACTTTTTTTTTCTCCCCTAAGAGTCTCAAACGTTAGTTTACTCATTAAATACACACAATGGCTTTATGGTGAACCCTGTGAAGCGCTTTGAGGCATCTCGACGCAGGGTAACAACACCAGCAACAAATTACATTTGTACAGCACCTTTCAGGTCAGGAGGACATCCCAAGACACTGGGACAAATGCAGAGATTATTATTATAATTATTATTACAATAAAACATGTAAAGTCCCAATACTTTATAGCAATTGGTGCAAAGTGTAGGTAAAGTTAGCGACTTGGTTTTGGTAGGCAAACGACACAACAGCTATTCCTGCGCAGAGCAAGGTCAACACATACACTGCAGCGAACGAGCAATTCATCTGGAGGATTGAAAGTAAAGGACGCCAGGAGTAACTCCCTTCTCTTTCCGCAGAACGTTGTGGGAATCTTTTCAGGGGTAGGAGGGACTCACAAAATATTACAGCACAGAAGGATGCCATTCAGCCCTTCGTGCCTGCCCAATCAGTCCCACTCCCCTGCTCTTTCCCCATATCCTTGCAAATTTTTCCTCTTCAAGGACCTGTTTTATTCCTTAATCTAAAGGACGTCACCTCTGACAACGCATCGCTGCCCCACCACCCCCCCATCCCCCAACACTGCACTGGAGCGTCAACCCGGACTGTGAGCTCGTATCCCAGCGTCTTGGGACATCCTCCTGACGTGAAATGCGCTAAACAAATGTAATTTGTTGTTGCTGCTGTTGTTGTTCTATCCCAACATGGGGCTTCAGCCCACAACCTTCTGACGCAGAGCCAAGAGTGCGATGGGAGTGGGTCAGGCTGACAATGTCTAAGTAGCCTAAATAGCTTTGGAGAGTTACGAACATGTATGTCTAACCTTCCATTTGATCGGTCATATCGAAACTGCCCCCAGTGTATAAGTACAGAACATGGTCGAAGCAGTCAGAAACTCGTCAGCTGATCTCTGCTGAGATTTCAGCAGCCATTTATGTCGGTGTGGGGTGCGGGGGAGAGGGGGGGTGGGAGGGAGAGGAAGCGTTAAAGATAAAGCTTTAAATATTTCTGAAGTCCACCAAAAGAATGTGCTGAAGTGAAAATCAGTGAAAGTGAAAGGGTGAGTTACCTGATGTTCTTACTTCCGACCAAAGCGAAGGCAAAGAACAGTGGATTGTATTTGATCTCGGAACCACGGAGATTGAGGAGCCCTGTGGGGGAGGGAGGGAGGGAAGGAAGGAAGGAGAGACAGCCAGAGGTGGGGGAAGAGAAGAAAATAACAACATCAAACCATATCCACGTCTTTCAAAATCTTAAAACACTTTGATCGTGTCTCCTCCTCTCAATCAAAGAGTCAGGCTTCCTGGGTCATCCAGTGTAACTTAGTGGTCAGAGCACTTGTAAAAGATTCGGATGGAGACGACCAATATGGGGGTGTAATAATCCAAGGTTAATTAAGTAATGCAAACAGTTTAATTTATTCTTAAAACTGAGACCATAGGTACAGGAGAATCGATACCGATTCCACTGGGAACTGCGCTGACCCTCAACACAACTCCAACTATTTCAAAGTTCCACCTTTCTTTTACCTGTTTCTACCACCACCCCCCCTTGTCACAGACATAGCCCCCACCCTTCGCAGGCTGCTAGCGAACTTTGAGCAGGCTCTTTTTGCGTGGGAAAATAACTGATAAGGAGAAAGAGATATGCACAGCTAATTGGGAGGATTCCTTTCCTGTTTCTTAGGCTTGAGCTAATCAGATGTCTAGGAGTGCACTTCTCTCTCTGAGTCTCCTTGTTTTCACATCTGCACTCAAGAACATAATTACTCAACTCTTAGATGGTAGGATGACAATGGACCCAGGCACCGAGCGAGGGAAAGTTATTAGGCCAATACACCTTTATCTTTGCTAACACTAATTGGCACACGTACCCTCTCATGGGCCCTAAGTTAGTCATTAAAAACACACAGCCTTGTCCGTGTCCCAATAACTAAGGAATGCTATGCTGAACAGATTATAAGTGTTTGGTTATATTTTAAAAGTATACTAATCAAAAACCTTAAAAACAGTAAGCATCACAAATATAATCTTACACACTCGCCTCGCAGGCGGGAGGACCTCGGTTCAATTCCTGGGCAGAGCAAAACCTTAAGCAGGTTTCTTAACTCCACAAGCCTTTGTTTACTTAGCAGTAAGTAGGAACCCTAGTTGTTAGTCGATTGGCAGATCGCTTTTGCAGGGGTAATAATCCCTTAAAATTAAAATAATAATTTGGTCACTCAATCCACGACTTTGTGGGACACTGCTGTGCACATTTGGCTGTCATGTTTCGCTCACAAAATATACAGTCAATTCACTTTACAGTGTATTCTGCAAAGTGTTTTGAGACGTCTCGTAGACGTGATCAGGCGCTATATCAATGCAAGGATTATTACTGATCTCAAAGGTCCAGGATAGGCCAGTGTTTATACCCAGTGCTCAAAGAATGCCATCAGCTAAGCAATGCTGTACATTCTGGTTCAGCGGCTTTCTCCAAACACAATTTGCTGACGTAAAAAATAACATGACAGCAAGTGCACAGGGGAATTCAGCATTCCTGGGGTCTAAAGCACAGTGCTCCTCGGGTCAAGTATTCAACATCTGTGGCTCTGCTAGTCAGCTTTGCACGACTCGAATGCACCCTCCAGTGGCAAAGCAGGCATAGATGCAACAGTAATACAAAGCAAGCTGCCTAACTGAACACAGCGAGGGGTTTGCATATCTTGAAGAAAAACATTTATAAGTATTTTTTTTTGAACAAATTTTTTTTCCAAACAAACTTTATTTATGGGGCAATTTAGTGCAACAAGGCTGAACAGACCACCACAATGACAACTTGCATTTGACGGCGCCATTCACTCAGGTAATGTCTCGGAGCTCAACATCCAAATAGTATGGTCACAAACCACTAAATCTATTGGGTTTTCCAATATGACTGTTCTGTAGTAGCACAGAACGAAGCCAAGAGTCGTCAGCAACAACAACTTGCATTTGTATAGCGCCCTTCACGCGGGGCAGTGTCTCGGAGAGCTTAAAAAGTGGTGCCCACAGGGTAAGGGGATTACAAAGACAATGTCCCTTCCTTTCAGAGGCTTTGTGACCTTCTCCCGACGACTGTACACTGAAGCGTTCTCCTGGGTGCTCACCCAGTGCTTTTCTGCTCGGGAAGCTGAAGTCATTGTCAGACAGGAATTTCTTTCTGAAAACTCAGCAATCAGTCATGGTCTAGCTCAAGCTTACAGCTCTAAAAATAACATCTGAGCTGACAAACGGGCAGCTTCTCTCTGAAGTGCATGACCGCCTCCAAGGAACTGCAAGCCGTCAAATTACATACAGCGACACAGCACGGAAATAGGCCATTCGACCCAACCAATCCATGCCTGCGTTTATATTCCGTACTAATCTCCACTAATTTCCCGAACCCCTCTATTCCCTTCTCCCTCATGCATTCATCAAGCTTCCTCTTAGATACATTGACGCTATTTGCTTCCATCACAGCTTCCGGCAGTGAGTGCCACAGTCACACTCTCTGCACGAAGATGTTCCTTGTAAACTCCCTATTAGTTCCGCTGGTGGCTGTTGCATCTGTGGAGTCCCATAAAGTAGTGGTTAGAGCCCTCGCCTTGCAAGCAAGAGGACCCGGGTTCGATTCCCGGGCAGGACGAAACCTTCGGCAAGTTTCCTTACCCCATGCACCACTGTTTACCTAGCAGTATGTAGGAACCCGGTTGTTAGTGGATTAGTGGCTCACTTTCTTGGGGTAAAATCCCTCAAGAAAAATGCTGTTTCTCAAACTACGACTGTTTTGTGCGACACTGCTATGCACAATTGGCTGCTGCATTCCACCCATAGTCAAACCACTTTAGAATATATTCTGTGAAATGCTTTCAGACATCTCAACCAAGGATAATTAATAATTAAATCCAAGGATTATTATTGCTGCTGCTACATTCACTTTCTTCTTCAAACATTAAGGCACTTACACGCGATCTCATCGAGGGCTGTGACCACCAGCCAAGTGGCTTTCTTCTCCGCTAACTTCTCTCGGAGCTGGATGATCTTGTCCTGCCATGACAGGCCTGAAACACAGTCACACATACATGATAACCACAGCCACGACCTTCAGGGTGGGAAGTCGCTGGGCGTAAACAGTCTGGCGCGTCCGTCCACAAAATACACAGTCACTCCGCTTTATAGTATATTCTGTGACGGACTTTGAGGCGTCTCAAAGATGTAATAAGACACTGTATCAAATGCAAGTATTATCATTATTATTTATGGCTTGTCCCGCAAAGCGCTTCGAGATGTCCTCCCGACGTGAAATCAAATGGAAGGATTATTTTCTTTCATTATCACGACAGAAGATCTTTGCCCGGATACTCAAGAGCAGGTGAAAACAGGGGGAAAATGTAGCAGGCAGCAGACTCACCTGTGTAACTCAGCTCCATAACCAACAGTGGGTTACAGGGTCGATCTGGTCGGTCCTTCCAAACCGCATCCACCAGGTTTTCTTTGCTCGGCACCAGGGAGTGTCCCACACTCTTCAGCGCTTTAGACAATATCTTCCACTGGTCTGAAAAGATATTATAACACAACCGTATAAACCACAGAGCACCAAGTTGCAAGTCACACGTTTGCGCCTGCAACTGCACAGTCGACTGTGGGACGCTGCTGTGCGCAATTGGCCTCCGCGTTTCTCCCACAAATCCTGTGAAGCGCTTTGAGACGTTTCAAAGACGTGATAAGGCATTATATCAAATGCAAAGATTATTATTATTATTCTTTTCCATATGTTCAATCCAGAAGGACAAAAAGTTGTATTATTATTAAAGGTGCTATATCAAAGGTAAGGATTATGATATTATGAATAAAGATAATAACAACAACAACAAACAGCAGCCGGATTGTACTGACCCGCTGCAATAACGAAGGGATCCACAGCAACCTTTGAGCCATCAGGTAGGACCTTTATTAGCCAATCTTCCTGGCTGGGGGTCATCTTCAAACCTGCAATTCAAAGGTAAAGCCGATTGAGAAATAGATCTTTGTGTGTGTGTGTGTGTGTGTGTGTCTGTCTGTCTCTCTCACACACATATAATCTACAGAGCAGTAACCCAGAGAGATTCACGCTTTGATAGGACTCGCGAGCATTACAACCTGCTTTGTACAATGAAAACACGTCTTCACAAAAATCAGCGCTTGACAAGGCACTGTAGCCAGTGATTGAAGAGAACTCTCATGTATCTGAAGCTTCTTAAATGAGAACATGAAAAGGAAATTGTCCTGTTCGACCATTCCAGTCAAAAAAACCTCATTAGTATTGATTTACAGACAGAACAACAATAAAATTACATTTGTAAAGTGCCTTTCACGTCGGGAGGACGTCCCAAGGCGCTGGACAGACAGAGTTACGGACCCGAGCTGAGGGTCGGGGTCAGGGAGGGTGGAGGGCATGACGGGGGGAAGCAGGGAGATCAAAAGCACGGTCGAAGAGGAGGGTCTTGAGATGGGTCTTGAAGGAGGCAAGAGAGGGGGTGAGGAGGAGAGGCAGCAGGATGGAGTTCCAGAGGGTGGGGGCAGAATGACAGAAGGCCCGCCCGCCAATAGTGGGGTGAGTGAAACAGGGGACATGAAGCATCCTGGAGCCCACTAAGCGGAGGAGCAAGCAAGATGGTAGGGGGTTAAGGGAGGGAGGGAGGGAGGGAGGGAGGGAAAATTGGGTTAATTTTTTATATGACAGTCAGTCGCTGCACTTTACAGTGAAGCACTCCCGACATGAAAGGCACTGTATCAAGTCCAAAGATGACTTATTATAATATTATTTTTATTATTGCTGTGTCTTTCGCTCACAAAATACAGAGTCAATTCATTTTACAGCATATCCTGTGAAGCGCTCTGAGACGTCTCAACAACGTGATAAGGCGCCGTATCAAATGCAAGGATTATTATTATTACACGTGGATTTTCAGTGGATTTAATTTGAGCGGAGTCGGATTTCACCGCGACGCTGCTCTTTAGCCCCGGGACGGCAAGCCCTCCTTGGCAATTACAGCGCTCAAAGCACGTGGCGAAACTTAACGCCACGCGCCTTTGGTTTACCCGCTGTCACCCTCACCCGTTTTCATCAGCGTCCAGTTCTTGTCCATTTGCTGGGAGGCCTGAAGAAAGTAACGGCCATCTGTCCACAGGGCTGCGTGCTCCTCAGTTACGATCGCCGTGCCTGCACGTAAACCCAAATCACAACCGTGACTTTTTCTGAGGTGTGCGTGTGAGCGCGTGAGAGTGCGTGCGTGTGGAGGGTTAGCGAGGAGCGAAATGGGCACGAACCTTAAAACGTTTTAAGTTAAACCGGCATCGGACTCACCACATTGCGAGTGGATGCCACGCAGAAACACAGAGTTTGGAAGCAGGCCATTTGCCCCTTCGCATGTACGTTAGCGCTCTGGGACAATACCCTGCGTGAGGGGCAGTCCTGTTCTGTTCTGCTAATCAATTTGTGAGACTCGGGAGTCCACACACAAATCTGGTTCATCGTGGTGGACCGCACTCGTTTACACCACGGGTTTATTATTTTTTTGTATGTGATGATGATAAATAGTTCTGACCTGCGGAGCCATCAAAGCCGCTCACAAATTCACGTCTGCAGTCACACGGGGCTATGTATTCACTCTGGAGAGAGAGAAAGAGACAGAGGGGGGGGAAAAAAAAGGACAAAAGCCCTTTAATTAGATGCAAGCTCCGTGTATGTATTGTTAGAGCTCACACTAAGCTATTCCAGGTTAATGAGCAAAGCAGATTTTTTTTCTCTACAAGCAGCGAAGCACGGTTATTGGCTTCATTAATGTAAATGTCAGATGCTGTAATACATTTTCACGAGGGAGTTCTGACGATGAGCTTAAAAACTGGGGTGAAGGCTGGCAAGCGAGGAAAAAGCAAATCCCATATTTTGTAAAAGCGAAGCAGAAAAACTAAGCTTAATACCGATTATAACAATCTTTGCGTGTGATGCAGCACTTTCACGTTGGGAGGACGTCTCAAAGCACTTCAGAAAATACACTTCAAAGTGCAGTGATTGTTTATGTCGTGGGCACACACAGCAGTGTCCCACAAACAGCCATGAACTGAGTGACCAATTTTATTTGGGGGGGGCGGGTGGGGGGGATTGTTGGCCAGGACACCGGGAGACAGAGAGAGAGAAAAACTAGCGCCGTGCGATGTTTAACGTCCACCTGAACAGGCAGACGAGACCTTGGTTTAACTTCGCATCCCAAACAATCAAGAACGGAGACTGGACGTAAACTAAATTTGTAAAGTATTTACTGTAAAAAAAAGGTAAATATCATTTCCTCATTCACTTCACATGCATCCGGCTTGGCATCAACAACAACAACAAGATTACATTTGTATAGCACCTTTCACGTCGGGAGGACGTCCCAAGGCGCTGGACAGAGTACAGCATTTCAGACCCGAGCTGGGGTTGGTGGGTGAGAGGAAGGGGAGGGGAAGGGGGGGTGGCCGATGGCATGGTCGAAGAGGAGGGTCTTGAGGTGGGACTTGAAGGAGCCTAAGGAGGGGGCGAGGAGGAGTGACTGGGGGATGGAATTCCAGAGGTTGGGGGCAGAGTGGCCGAAGGATCTCCCGCCAATGGTGGGGCGGGTGGGTCAGGGGCTGTGCAACTGAGACTCTTGCCTCGTGAATGTCCCTGCATAAATGCAGGTTGTTGTTGTATCGTAGGTTCATAATAATCCTTACATTTCATACAGCGCCTTATCACATCATCAAGACGCCCACAAAATACAGTCAATTCACTTTAGTCTATTCCGTGAAGCACTTTGAGACGTCTCAATGACGTGATAAGGCTCTATATCATATGTAATGATTATTATTATTATACTGTAAAGTGTATTGACTGTGTATTTTGTGGGAGAACCTTCATATGAATGATAGGCGAAGGGGTACAGTTATGTCAGGCTTGAAAAACTGAGGTGGTTTCCACTGAAATACAGCAGCTAAAAGTTGCCAACTTGGCTGCATCTATGGCTCAGATTTGTGAGTTCAAGTCCCATGTTGGGACTTTGAGCTCACAGTCTCACCCACAAAGTATACAGTCAATTCACTTTACAATATATTCTGTGAAGCGTTTTGAGACATCTCGAAGATGTGATAAGGCGCTATATCATATGCAAGGATTATTCGTGCTATTATTAGTAATAGTAGGTTCCAGTGCCGTAAATGGGACTAGCGCAACAGGCCTGCAATTAAAAGACAAAAATCTTTGAAACGCATCCATGTTTATAGACACTGATTAATATCAAAAGTGAGCAAGATATTTGTTGTGGACTATGGACCAATTAAATGGGATCTAAAATCGTATTTTCTGATCTTTAATCTTTCGTAGATTTGACTTACAGGAACTTAGAGAAGCAGGAACAGGTGGAGGCCATTCAGACCTTCAAGCCTGTTCCACCAGATCAGATCTTGATCAGAGCTTGACAGATTGTTTAATCCCAATACCCTGCTCTTTCACCATAACCCTTAATATCTCAACTACCCAAGTCTCTGCCCATCTCTCGACCCCATTGATTCCGCCAATTCCAGAAACTTTCTGGGGCAGAGCATTCCACATCGTCAGTTTTGACCCTCTTTGTTCGGATTCCCAGGCTGTGTACCTTTGTAAAGGATTCCTCCACCACGGGGAAGAGCCATCCACTATCTAACCTGCCAATCTCTTTCACTGGGAATCAAATTGCCTCTTTAAACTCCTCTGGTCTGCGGAATAATAACCCCAGGTCTACCCAAACCTATCTTCATATCTAAGCTCCATCAGCCCAGGTATTAACCGAGCCAACTTAATTAGCGCTCAATTCTATTTTTAGTGCAACTTGCAAGGTAAAGAACTTTACCCAGAAGAAATAAGAGTGTCAGCAGTAAACCAGCAACGGGAGCCATGGAAGTGAAGGTCAGGCAGTTAGTGCAGTAATACCTGGTGATTGTCTCCTGATGGCACGATCAGGGCTTGAATTGGCTCCTTCGTGTTCTGCCCGTTCCTCATCCCCTGCCTTAGGTGTCGCAGCAACTCGGTCGTGACTTTTGGCATCATCCCTTTTCCTGGAGGATCAAGTCAGAGAGAGAGAATCAGTGACTGAACCTCAACTACAACACACACAGCGACTGCACTTTATAATGCCTCGATGTACTATATTACAGTCCAATGAACACTAACAACTGCAACTGCCATCCCTGGTGGCTTAACAGTTCACTTGGTCACACATCTCATCTAAACTAAACCGTATTGAAAGATGGCATTGCTCTGTGAACTACAGCGATTCCCTGAGTTTTATAACACACAACTAACATCTGTTAACATTAGTTGTGGTACACAATACTTGGAACATTCTCCCTCAATCCCTCCGCTCTTGCTCCCTCCTTCAGGTCGCGTCTTCGATCATGCCTACGGTCACCTCCCCCCCCCCCGGTTCGGTGTCGTGCACCGCCAGTGTTACGAGCTCCGGGGGGGGGCTATTATAAATGCACGTTGTTGTTGTTAAAGGCAGGGAAATATGGCTTACCGTGGCTTTCGATACTTCGTACAGCAAGACTCGGGACGTGTACACCAGAACCTCACTCTGCAAGTGTCCCTCTGCGCTTTACTATCCGACGTTCACTGGCCAATTTCTTAATGAGTCTTTTCTGCCCTACGCAGCATTAAAGAGGCATCTAAACCCTGCAACACATTGAACCTTAACCACCATAAACGTGCTCAAGAGCTGCACCGTGAGTGTTGAGATTTTATTCCATCAGCACAGGGTTCAGCGATGCTAATTAAACACTGTGAACTATGACCGTTAGAAGGAAGAACCATTTCATTGCACTGTAAAGTTCATTTCATAAAACAATGTGTCAACCACTGATACGACTTTTGAAATAAAGCTTTTATTGCTATGAGCCCAGATTGGAGCTGCAGGTCCCAGTTTAGTCTGCACAGTTGAACAACACCAAAGCCCTTTGACTACACTGGGCATTATATAATCAACAACAACAAAATAACTTGCATTTAAAGAGCGCCCTTCATGCAGGAAAGCATCTCGGAGCTCTGAAAAGGAGACTGCCAGCACTTGGTCAATTAAAAGCACACATGTTCAAGACAGTAGAAAACCTGGATTACATGAAGGATTCATTCCTATGTTAATTCTGTGTATACACAGACATTCAAAAAAACAGTATAGGTTAATATAAGTCTGCAACTTTTTTGTAACGTACATACAAAATAAATCTTCCCAAATAAGCACACCAAACAAATCCACCCTTTAAAACACTTGACATAATTTGGCTGCTGTGAAGAAGTTGGTGACCACAAACTGTTGAAAGTAGATTAGATTTAAATGGAACGAAAACATGGATAGAAAAATACCGTACTGAATGCTGATCAGGTCTCATTAAAACTACACAACTGTGCTTATAGTATCTGTTCCAGTGCCATGATTTTATTTTTGCTTCCTCCATTTTCCTATTAAGTAATATTATCATTATTGATAATTAATTATTAATATTAATACTGTTAAGTTTTTCGTTACACGGGGGGTCATGAACAACTGGAACAAGTTGCCAGGAAGCGTGGGTGAGGCCAGGACACTTGACTCATTTAAGAAGTAGCTTAATGCTGTGCTGGTGGTAGGAGGGTAAATATTGGGATGCGTGTTCTGGAGGGATAAGATCGAATGGGCCAAAGGGCCTTCTTCATCCAGATCAATTGTGAGAAGTGTGACAAGCAATCTGTAAATGGGTCACTGCGCTCAGGACAATAATTAATAGAAGCGTTCTGTATTTATGGTGAATAATTAACTGCTTTTCATCAGAACGAGTACTGTATTATTTATCCCCATAGGGCTTCCGCACAATGAGACAGGCGCGCAAGAGCAAAAGGGTTTTTGTTTTGTTTGCGAGTGAAATGTAGCACTCAGCTACTTCCAACAGTTCAAGCGAAAAGAATCGCGATTTTTTTTTTAATCCAGGTGAGATCTTGTACTTCAAAGTGAGGCTTTAAGCGGAGTGTGGTGCTTTGAGATGTTGCTGAAGGCAATCAAGATTCAAGGGTAAAGTACCTTCGAACACAAGATAAAAACATATTCTCAAGCATGCTGCGTCTAAGCCCTTTGTAATCACAGCTCATTTTACCCTCCAGTGATTTTTTTTTAAAGAAAGATTGGGGTCCTACAGAATGATTCGGTTAAGTGTCTCCAGAATCTCTCTTTCTCTCTCTGTAGGAGTTACTGGTAAAATAGCTTAACGTAACTCAATAGAGTCCTGTAGCTCAGTGGTTAGAGCACTCCTCTCAACTCTCTACCCCCTCCTCGCTCCCTCCCTTCCCTCCTCTCACCCTGACCATTTCCCCCCCTGCTCAGGTCCTGACCCAACTGTCCAGCGGCTTGGGACGTCCTCCCAACGTGAAAAGCGCTCTATAAATGAAATCTCGTTGTTGTTGTTGTTGTTGTAGTGGCTGAAGGCATGGCCGACGATGGTGGAGCGGAGGATTCGAAGGGACAAGGAGGAGGCCGGAGCCGGTAGAGCGGAGACAGCGGGTCGCACTGTGAGGAGAGGAGGTTGGAGAGATGGGGGGAAGCCAAGGCGTGGAGGGATTTAAACACGAGAGTGAAGTTGATCCGCTCTGTGACAGGGAGCAATGGAGTTTGGCAAGGACTGGAGAAATCAGGTGCGGAGTTTAGAGCAGGTGAGAATGCGGACGGCAGAGTTTTGGATGAGTTGAATTTTGTGAATAGTGGAGGAGGGGAGGCCAGCGAGGAGGGCGTTAGAGTAGTCAGTTACAAAGCAATGGACAAGGGTTTCGGCCCCTTGTGGAGTGTGAGGTAGTGTCAGTGACGGGCAATGTGGCGGAGGTGGAGGAAAGTGGTCTCAGCCGGGCACCGGATGTGGGGGAGGAAGGATAACTGGGGATCGAACCCGATGCCTACGTTGCACACGGGTTCAGCAAGTTTTAAGGACAAATCGGGTACGTTGAGGAAATCGGAACCACAGGAAAGAAGACGTCAACGGGAGCCAAAGAGTATGGCTTGTTGACGTTTAACGGCAAGAAGTTTACCCTCATCCAGGCCTTGATGTCTGTCAGGTAAGCTGACAGAATATCAGGGGACTGGGGGTCGCAGCTGGAGGAGAAGTAGAGTTGAGGGTCATCCGCATACATGTGGATGTTAACTCCGTGTATGCGGATGACATCACCGAGAGGGGGCATATAGATGAGGAAGAGAAGGGGGCCAAAGATGGAGCCTTGGGGTACCCCACAGGTGACCGGAGGAGAAACCATTTGCAGGAATGTCGTGCTGGCAGTTTTTAAGGCAGGACTCAAACCAACACACCTCGATTTACATAGCCATAAGTAGGAACCCGGTCGATCGGCGAATCGCTTTTCCGGGGGTAATAATCCCTTAAAAAAAAAATGATAATGTCGTCACTCAATCCACGACTGTTTGTGGGACAATTGGCTGTCAGGTTCAGCCCATAAAATATACAGTCAATTCACTTCACCGTAGAGATTCCCTCTCTCTGTGCTCAGGGAGTGGGGGAGTGTCTTGTCCCTTTGAGACGTCTCGAAGACGTGATAAGGCGCTGGACCAAATTCAAGGATTATTAGTATTATTATTATTATTCCCACGATTTGCTAACGCTATTAAAATGAACTCTGTCATCAAATCACAGAGACCAATGCGTTCCCACAGGAGGAGGGAATGGGAATACTTTGTGCTGGACACAATATCAGAATATTATAACACTCCCTCCCACGCGCTGAAGGGTCAGAACCAATATAATAATAATCATCATCTTCATCATCATCATCACATCGATACAGAGCCTTTTACGTTGGGAGATCCTCCCAAAGCGCTTCACAGCATTTTAAAGTGCAGTGACTGCGCATTTTGTGCTACTTTTTTTTATGACCCCGGGGGGTGTGGGGGGAAGCCTCTCTCTGGGGGGGCTGTCTGTCGCTCTCTCTGTCCTCAGGGAGTGGGGGGTGTCTGTCCCTCTCTCTGTCCTCAGGGAGTGGGGAGAGTCTGTCCCTCTCTCTATCCTCAGTGGGTAGGCGGTGTCTGTCCCTCTCTCTGTCCTCAGGGAGTGGGGAGAGTCTGTCCCTCTCTCTATCCTCAGGGGGTAGGCGGTGTCTGTCCCTCTCTCTGTCCTCAGGGAGTGGGGAGAGTCTGTCCCTCTCTCTATCCTCAGGGGGTGGGGGGTGTCTGTCCCTCTCTCTGTCCTCAGGGGATGGGGAGAGTCTGTCCTCAGGGGGTAGGCGGTGTCTGTCCCTCTCTCTGTCCTCAGGGGGTGGGGAGAGTCTGTCTCTCTCTCTATCCTCAGGGGGTGGGGGGTGTCTGTCCCTCTCTCTGTCCTCAGGGGATGGGGAGAGTCTGTCCTCAGGGGGTGGAGAGAGTCTGTCCTCAGGGGGTGGGGAGAGTCTGTCCCTCTCTCTGTCCTCAGGGGGTGGGGAGAGTCTGTCCCTCTCTCTATCCTCAGGGGGTGGGGGGTGTCTGTCCCTCTCTCTGTGCTCAGGGGATGGGGAGAGTCTGTCCTCAGGGGGTGGAGAGAGTCTGTCCTCAGGGGGTGGGGAGAGTCTGTCCCTCTCTCTGTCCTCAGGGGGTGGGGGGTGTCTGTCCCTCTCTCTATCCTCAGGGGGTGGGGGGTGTCTGTCCCTCTCTCTGTCCTCAGGGGGTGGGGGGTGTCTGTCCTCAGGGGGTGGGGAGAGTCTGTCCTCAGGGGGTGGGGAGAGTCTGTCCTCAGGGGGTGGGGGGTGTCTGTCCCTCTCTCTGTCCTCAGGGGGTGGGGAGAGTCTGTCCTCAGGGGGTGGGAGAGTCTGTCCTCAGGGGGTGGGGAGAATCTGTCCTTAGGGGGTGGGGGGTGTCTGTCCCTCTCTGTCCTCAGGGGGTGGGGGTGTCTGTCCCTCTCTGTCCTCAGGGGGTGGGGGGTGTCTGTCCCTCTCTCTGTCCTCAGGGGGTGGGGAGAGTCTGTCCTCAGGGGTGGGGGGTGGGGGGTGTCTGTCCCTCTCTCTGTCCTCAGGGGGTGGGGGTGTCTGTCCTCGGGGGTGGGGAGCGTCTGTCCTCAGGGGGTGGGGAGTGTCTGTCCCTCTCTCTGTCCTCAGGGGTGGGGGGTGTCTGTCCCTCTCTCTGTCCTCAGGGGGTGGGGGTGTCTGTCCCTCTCTCTGTCCTCAGGGGGTGGGGGGTGTCTGTCCTCAGGGGGTGGGGAGTGTCTGTCCCTCTCTCTGTCCTCAGGGGGTGGGGGGTGTCTGTCCCTCTCTCTGTCCTCAGGGGGTGGGGGGTGTCTGTCCCTCTCTCTGTCCTCAGGGGTGGGGGGTGTCTGTCCCTCTCTCTGTCCTCAGGGGGTGGGAGAGTCTGTCCTCAGGGGGTGGGGGGTGTCTGTCCCTCTCAGCTCTCAGTCCTCAGGGGTGGGGGGTGTCTGTCCCTCTCTCTGTCCTCAGGGGGTGGGGAGAGTCTGTCCTCAGGGGGTGGGGGGTGTCTGTCCCTCTCAGTCCTCAGGGGGTGGGGGGTGTCTGTCCCTCTCTCTGTCCTCAGGGGGTGGGGAGAGTCTGTCCTCAGGGGGTGGGGAGTGTCTGTCCCTCTCTCTGTCCTCAGGGGGTGGGGGTGTCTCACCTGCTGCTTTGTCACCGGCTGGAGGCTGACATTGACGCACGTCACGTCACCACGTCGACATACGTCACGGCGCCGCCGCACGTACCTCTGACACGGGGGTGGGGGGGGGAGCCCGGACTCT